CACACTTGAGTTACCATAGCACCTCATTAGCTAGATTTTACCCAGATTATGGGCCCATCTATCCAGCTTTCGCTATGCTTATTTCTACAATCTGCTGGCCCAGAAGCTGTTCTAGTTCAGCTCTAAATTCTTGCCTGCTTTACCTCTGCAACATCACAGGGGCCTGACCACGTCACATCACAAAGGTCTAACTACAAGCATCATAATTTTGCCTTGAGGTCGAAGGAAATGGGATTCTGTTAATGTGGGAATCCTAACCACAAACTTTTTTTCTGGATTGAACTTCAGTTTATTACCTCTCATCCAGTCCCTTATTGCCTCTTTGTATTTTTGAGAACTCCCACTCTCTGTGCTTACCTGGCACCTCAATGGCACAAACATGGTCTTCAAATGGTTGTTAGGTGCTAAACAAAAGAGCAACGGCTGATGCCAAGATGCCTGTGCAAGTGGGGTTTTCAAGGTTGGATTTCCATTTGCTGTTCTTCAACAACATGAACTTGGAATTGGGGTATCATATGTTTGTTTCCTTTGTCCACGTGGTGCTCCTCAGGAACATTGGTCAAGAGTGGAGACATGCAGCATCATGGCATGGATGGCAGCTGCCCCATATTCAATCGGGCATTTTGCTTTGTTTTGTTCTTTGACAAAAGAGAAGCTGGACTGGTTTGATGCCAGTGGCATCGTCTAGGGGAATTTCCATGATTAAGAATTTTTCATCCTGTTCCTCTCAGAGTTCATTCATAGCCACAAAGAGAAAGGGGAAGGGGGGGAAGAGAAAGAAAAGGAAAGGGGGGAAAAAGAAAAGGGGGAAAGAGGAAAGAAGAAACCTAGCAGGACTGAATGAGATGAAGAAAATGAGGAGGGATGAATTTCTTTTGAGAGATAAATCATTCTAGGGAGAAAGTGGATGAGATATTAATTTGGTGGGACATTGGTAAGGGGAATTAATTTGGCAGGATCTTCATAGGAAATTAGGCTGCTCATATTTTCATGCAGGAACAGAAATTCAGGATGTGGTAACCTCTGCTTTAGAACATAAGATCCATACTAGATCAAGACTCAGGACACAATCCCATAAACAGTTTGTTTTAGGCGTGTCCATAGAAAGCATTGGGATGGGACAAAGAGAAGGTGTTCTAAGTGGATGGAACCAAAAATGATGTGGGAGGACTGGCTTTGCTGGCTGAGTGGGATGTGTAGTGTTTCCACCTTTTGAGGCATCAGTCAGTGCTTGCAAAAGAGCTATGAAAACAACCAGGTCAGACTCCAGTCCTTCAAGGGATGGGTGCTAATTAAGAGTGGGCACAAATTGGGCAAATGGCAATTTGTTTTGATTCATGATTCATCAAGGTTGATGAATCACAAATAACAAATTAACAATTTTTCTGACAAATCAACAAATCAATTTGTCAACTCATTTTTGCCTTTTAAATGCTATAGAATGCCCTCCCCCAGCACTTAGAGACACCAAATTTGCAGAGAAGCTTCCCATGACTCTCCTGTACAATCCCTCCATGTTTGGTGACTTTAGGTTTCAGACGTCCAAGTTATATATCTACAAAGAGCCCCCCCCCCGGAAAGTGCCGTTTAGCAGCTGGCTTGGGAAAACCCAATCTTCACCAAACTTGGAAAGATTATGGAGGAGAGTTGAGAGAGGTTTTTCTGTAATTTTGGTTTCTCTAAGTACTTTGGGGACCATTTTATAGTCCAACAAATAAATTAATCAAAATTGCTAAAAATGTGTTGATTCATATTTGTCAGGGCACATTGATTCCGATGAACATGAACCAATGATTGTTGTGGGTTTTCCAGGCTGTTTGGCCATGTTCTTAAGGTTTTTCTTCCTAATGTTTTGCCAGTCTCTGTGGTCAGCATCTTCAGAGGACAGGAGTCAGAACTCTGTCTGTGCTCAATGTTAGGAAGAAAAAATTTAAGAATATGGCCAAACAACCCGGAAAACCCACAAGAACCATCAGATCCCAGCCGTGAAAGCCTTCGAGAATACATGAACCAATGAATTTGCTATTTTTGATGAATTTTGCAATTTGTTTTTTAATTCATGCCCATCTCTAGTCCTAATGAATATGCACTCTCAATAAATAGCAATAGAGCATTAATCAGCCATGTAGATAATCTCACTGTTGAAGACCGTGGTTATAGTTTGATTGACTGATTTGACATTTTTAAATATGGGGTCACTTGCCAAATTATTTTTACTAAATACAGCTTGATAGTGACTCTAACCACCCTTGGTGTGGATACATTAGTATGTCTTGTAAATAATGGTGTGCAGATGCAAGAGACTAGAATTACATCCCTCTAGACAGCCATTTTGTGAAGGAGAGAAAAAAGGCATACTACCTGTAATGTAATGCATTAAAAAGCACTTAGGGTGCTCAAGCCAACATTAGAATAGCACATAAATAGCACATAAACACTGTTGTTGTGATCTCAGTGGAACTCTGGAGGTCAAATAGGAACTCTAGCAGCCTCTCAGAGACCACTTAAGTCTGAGAGAAGAGCCCCACTGTATGTGGACAGACTGTATCATACTGATGTATGTGATACATACAGAATAACCCTCCCATCAGTGCTACCTTAAAGTTATGGGAAGCCATATTTGTCTGCATGTTTTATCCATAAAACAAACTAGGTTTCCGGATGGCACTAGGCAAACAGATAGAAAGTCATATAGGCACCCACAACGGTAACAATTTTCTTTTCATCTGCTAATCCCACCCTTTTTCCTAAATGTTTTCAGTTCCCAAACTTTTGGGGGTCATTAGCACACTAGACACTGTTCTGGGTGCCACCACAAAATAAACAACAGAAGAACCTTGCTGGAAGAGAACAAAGATCTGTTTAGTCCAGTATTCTGTTGCGCAGTGGCTGGCCTATAGGTGGCAGGGAGGGATGGGTATTGGCCTATCATGAAATGTTGGAGTTTCGTGTGTGTGTGTACACTCTCTGTTTTTCTGCTTTCTTTCACAGATCCTCCTATTGTCACAGCTAATAGCAGATGTCCTGACAGCTAGCTGCTGCGATACCTTATGAGATCTGGCGAACACTGTGAAATGTTCTGAAAGCTTGCAGTTGTCACAAAGTCTCATGAAGATCTCATCCAGCAGGTGCCTTCAAGCTCACATTATGGGCAGCTGGAGCAGAGAGGAGCAGGGTCACAACCACAAGTGCCATGGAAAGTCTTTAAGGATGCTTTGGCACCCATGGACACTTCACTGGAGACCAGAAATCGAGAGAGATTAATTAACTGTATGCCTTCAGCTGAACAAGCTACCATATAGGGTTGACATGCTTCTAGGACTCATCTGCTTCTTGCCCTGCCTTTGAATTGACAGCTACCATTTACCCCAGCATTTAAAACACAGTAAATCCATTTATGTACAGCCAGTTTAACATAACAGCTACCAAACTTGGTGATAGATTACCTGCTCTACATTCAGAATATTCCAGGTTCATTCATCAGCATCCCCTTTTACAAGGTTGAGAGAACAGATGGTGGGAAAATTTGGCCACAGCCCTGGAGATCTACTAAGCAGTGAGAAAAATAGACACAACTATCTGAACAAAGAGTTGGACCCACTATAAGGTTCCAAGTTTTCTCTTTGTACAAGAATGTTTAAAAAGGAAAGAAAGTGGATGCTGTGTTGCCTTCATAGGAAAACTGCCAGCTAATACTGTTCTCAGCTGACACACTTAGAGGGTACACTTATACACACATAAGTATCTAAGCCCCATGGAAAACAATGTGGTTTTCTTACAAGTGGGTATGTCTAGGAGTGTGCCATAGTCCTCTCCTGGCATTCAAGAATTAGGTGATTCGAAGAAGCTTAGCAAAGATTTCCTTGGCCTCTCTCCACTTCGCTGCTCTTTCTTCACATAGTCATTGCCTACTCTGAAGAGGAGAGATCCCTGCTCACATGGGGACTCTTGATGCTAGCAAGAGCCTTGGAATAACAGTTATTCTTGCTTTTGTGGAGAGCCAGTCCACAAACAGGAACTTCTCTTCAGACTCATAAATGAACATACGAAGAACGTGATGAGGGAGAGGGACAGGGTTCAGCTATTCTTGGACTGCAAGGGAAATTATATCTCAGGGATGATGCACGTAGCTTTGCATCAAGAAAGTCATAAATTCAGTCCCCCTGAATTAGTTGGGCTAGAAAAGACCTTTGCTTGCAATGGTTGCAGAGGCCAGATGGGCAAATGGTCCAATTCAGGACTACAAGGGAATTCTTAGAACTGTAATGCAAACTAACATCTCCAAGCACTAAATTGTAGATAAAAATGCATATATAATAGGACCAGTTCCAAGCCCACTCCCCTGATGCTGAAAACCATGGATAAAAGCAAACCCTATACATAGCATGATCTATGACTCCCTCTAGTGAACAGTTCTGGTAACTACATAATGGAAATACGTATTTCTGGGGTTTTTCTTTCAATGGTTTTAATATTTTCAGACCGAGGATCAGTGAAACTGCTCATACCAATTCTATAGATACATGGATCCTACTGTACAGAAAAATGTTGGCGGTGCAGTTAAGAAAACAGGAGACTTACCTTTGGGAGTCCTGGTAAGAAGAAAGATGTTGAACAGATGCTGCAAACAAACAAACAAACAAATTTCATAATTTATTGAGGCATTTGTTCCAGCCTTAGAATTCCAGCACCCAAAAAGGCTACATTTTGCATAATGTTGACAGCATTGTGTGGTCACTTTCTTGAATGACCAGTTTAACACTTTGTTCCATCCTTTTTCCAATAAGTACACAGTGTATGGAATGCTGTGACCTAGACTGAGGAGAAAAACAAAGTATTTCAATAAAAAATTTGTTCTGCAGTTAAATTCAATGTGATCCTTAAAGTGTACCAACACTGTGTGACATTCAGTTTTTCCCTGACTGTTGTAATCACAAAACCTTTGTGGTCGTTTCTTAGCATAAATAAGCTTTACTAAAATTTGGGCAAACATCTTTATTTCAGAGGATGTATTTCAGGAGAAAGGGAAGGAGAAAGAAGACCAGGTAAGATCCTCGGAGAAGGATTTTGCTTGGTTAGAATCACCGAGGATGATGTTCTAGGCTGCATCACTGAACGTAAGTGGTGGCAGATGTGGGAGAGCAAAGCAAGATGAGACAGGTCTGTTCCCTTCAAAAGGTGGCAGTCATTAGCCAAAAAGGGTAACTATCCACAGCAGTAAGCAGATGGCTAAAATCTAGGGTGGCAGATGTGTAGAAGCTAAGTACTCTTCCTCAGAAAGGCCCAGAGTCAGGGCTCTCACCTGCAAAACAGACACTAACTTGGCATTTTTAATGAATGACTTTTCACAAATGTTTCTCCACAAATTGACATCCATGGCAGGCAGGGGGGCAAGGACATTACACAGGAATGCACTTAGTGCTGGATCCAGACCACAACAATCAATGGGAGTGAAACAAGAGGTAACTAATATCAGTACAAATCATGTAGATGGATCTACTCTAAATAAGCTTGGATCCCAACTCTATGTATTCTGCAGACTGGGAGGGCCATGTGTGACCTAGGAATGTGTTGTTGTTTCTGTTTCTATATATATCACAAGAGATGGTGGCTTCCCTGCTCATGAATATAAGTGTTGGAATGTTACACATGGTCATCAAAATGACAGTGTGACCATGATGATCAAAGCAGGGGTAATTTCCAGAAACACATCTTCTATGGTAGGATTTTGTGACCAGCAGAGCAATGCTACATGGTACTTCTGTTGCAGCCAACATGGATATTAAACAATGTTTAAGGATTCTTGAACAAATGCAGGATTCTTGAACAAATGCAGTTGTCTGCATAAACAGTGCTTTAAACTGACTGCAGTAAAGCCAAATCCTAGAGATTTGCATATGGAAAATGGATCTAAATCAAGCATTAAATGAGAACATTACCTAACAACTAAAGCAGTCACGGCTAGATTTCAAGATTCCGCATACTTTAAAAACATTATTAGATGAAATCCAGCTTGACACAGAAAGTTATACAACATAAATCATCACTGTTATACAAACTATCTATTCCTGGCATTTTCCTTCTGGATGAGTTCGGCTTATGAGGTGTGTCCACACCTCAAGATGTCAAAAGAGTCTGAGTGATCAAGGAAGGATGTTTGAAGGAATTACTTTCCTCTGAGATGGGTCACATAAAACGATTCATGCAAAGAACACAATGAGGGGAGGCAAAAGTTCCTTCTCAGGGTCCTCTGTGATTCATGTTATATGTATTAATTTTTATTTAATCTTTTTATGTCTTTGATTCCTAGCCAGCTCTGCAAGAGCTGACAGCTCTCTATGTGTGCATGTATGCACACATAGATATGAATTTCTGTATACAAAAACTTAACACTAGAACAAAATGAGAATCACCTTCCAGTAGGATAAAAGCTGTTACTTCTTGAAGGCCAGCAGCTTTGGACGCCTCATTTCAATTCTACAACATTTCAAATTAGTTATTAACAGCCTTGAATGTTTCCACACAGAGAAGAGTTTTCTGAAATAAATTGGGGAACTCTTTAAAAGAAGTCTCTACAGATGAGCAAACTGATATTGTTTTGTCTCGTCGTCATAAAATTTTACTGTACTTCGAATGCAGGCAAGACGTATATTAAAATGGCCACCTGCAACCATGTCAAGTGAAGGAATAATTTGAAAGAATTATGATCTTTCCTCCTTCTTCTATAGATCAAGGATCCAAACCAAGGACTCCAGTTCCTCTTGCACAGCCTTTTCTGGAAGAACCCTCCTTGGGCACATCTTCTGGCTGATAGCTTTCGGCCGTTCATGTTCCCTCTTTCTTTTATATTCCTATGTGCAAGCTGACAATGAAACATTCCTATAGCTGTTATTCTACAACCAGAAATTCACTTCGCTTAATTATATGCACTGCAAATGACTCTGAAGCGATAGTTTTCAAAGAGGAAAAGATACAAGATAAGTAGACCTTTAACTTCAATCCATATTCTCCTGCCAAAATAGAAAACTAAAAATCTGTTCAACGTCATGTGTACTTCCTGCCTAAGGATCTACACTATGTCTGAAAGACAAAAGTGTTGATTAAGCTTTGTGGTTGAGGAAATGGCTGAATCTGGGATGTTATCTGGAATCAAATTATTATCCTACACTTTACATCCACTAATATTCCAGTGCTCACTATAGTGATCTGATAAATCCCATTGATATTCATAAAATGAACTTTTTTTAAAGGACTTCTAAGATTTCTTAAAATGTCTTACATTTACCTCATCTTTTCACTGAAACTGCCACTCAAGGAAGCTTACACGTGTCATAAAAGAATAAAAACAAGGAAAAATTAATGTTACTATAAATTCATAAAATCAAGCAAAATGAACCTCACCATAAAAACTATTAAAATCAAGTAAATGCATCAAAAACATTAAAATCAACAAAGGATACAATCAAAAACAATACAATTCCACACTGTGCATCCCAGAAGAGCCAGACTGTGTGGCCTAAGGGCAAGCTGTGCAGTCCCAGAATGTCCCCAGAAGAAGGGAATGGTAAATCACTTCTGAGTAATCTCTATCTAGAAAACTCTGAAAAAAGTCATCATAAGTCAAAATTGACTTGAAGGCACATTACTGTTGTTGCTGTTGTTGCTGTTGCTGTTGTTGTTGTTGTTGTTGTTGTTGTTGTTGTTGTTGTTAACGCCAAGATGGCAACTGGTCTGTCACATGATTGTCAACTGGAAGCAATATCAAAGTGTGTGATTATCACTCCCATTACCCAATGAACGGGTCTAAGATGTTACATAAGCTCTCGTTTGGATCTCGGTTGGAGCTCCCACTTTACCACACTTGTGCAGTGGTGTTAATCCTAATAATGACATTTCCACAGATCATCTCCTTCAGAGTTCTTCTGTTTTAATCCACCCTTCTGCTCCTTCCAAATACCAGTTTAACTAAAAATGTTTCCATAATTAATTCTGTACATTTCCCTCTGTTTCTAGTTTTTCAAATTTATTTGCACTATTTTCCCCACCTCTACATATTCAGGGCCCACATGTGATGTGTAAAACCTTGGTTAAAATAAAATATAAGCCTGAGTAACTGCATTACAGTGTTTTACTAATGTGAACATGCACTCCTGCTTGTCGACAGGCCAATCAGGCGCCATGAATCTTGATGCAGCACTGTGTCTCAGTGCATTAAAATTACCATATTTGCAATGTTTTGTCAACAGACATGCCCATACTGGTAGTGAAAATGGAAAGTGGGATACACAAATGAAGGACAAAATTTAAAGCCAGATCAAATTGCATACACACACAGTGCTGCGTGCAGTTTGCATAAATTTAAAAAAAATCAGTGGAGAATTCCTGCTGCATCATTTCTATGTTGGAAACAAAACCAGCTAACTCAATGAAGGTAACAAATCCTCATGGTCATATATATCTACAGAATAAGGACACTAGAAAGACTTGGATGGAATCAAGTCTTCCAAAAGAACAGGTTTTTAATTCCAGTTAACACCCTTTCCCCCCGAAAATAAGACCTAACCTGAACATAAGCCCCAGTTAAATGAGACCCCGCCCTCCACTATTGTGCAGCATTGTGCAGCAACCAGAAGAAGATGATATGACTATTTTTGAATAAATGTAGATTGTTGTACATGAAAAGAAAACATCCCCTGAAAATGCGTTTTTAGAGCAAAAAATTAATATAAGACCCTGTATATGAATGGTATGGTAGCTTGTAAGCTGCAATGGGATTTCAGAGACCCAGGATACCATTTCCATTGAGCCATGAAACTCGACCTTGGGCTGGCAGCTTCCTCTCAGGCTGGCCGAGCTCACAAAGGCATTTCAAGAATATTGAAGGGAGTGGCCACACATCTCTCCTAGAGGTAATTGGTAGGAAAACAGAGTATGAATATAATAAATGGATGTTGAACAAACATTCCAGATAGAAGGAATGTGTTGTTTCTCTTTTTTGAGCTTGACAAATGTAGAAAAACAGCAAGAAAAACAAATTGCTTGCATGTGCATGTGTTTTAAATTTAAAAGGTTATTTATCATACCTTTCCTCCAAAGAGCTTAAAGTAGCGTCTCCATCTTGCCCCATATCTGTCCTCATGACAACGCTATGAGGTACATTAAATTGAACGATAGCAACTGAGCCAAGGTCCCTCACTGAGTTTCTTGGCTCACTATGGATTTCAATAAGGGTCTTGAAAGGCCTGGTCTGACATAGCAATGGCTACATTACACCAATGCTCATATACTGACTGTACCTTTAAACTCACAAAACATCGGATCAATACAATATATACTCTTTCATTCATAATTTTGGGGTGAAATCCAACCAACGTGAAGCAAAACACCTTATAACATTAAGTATAAGTATCACTGAATTCAATGCCAGGGAGATCAGTGCTACAGTCTGGGTTTTTTCAAGCCGAATTTCTCATAGTCTTTATAAGTATATAAATTCAAAGGAATTGCTCTTATGAAGTATGAAATGGATCCTGTAATACCAGAACTGACACCAAAGAAAGATATTCTTGTCATTATAGGGGACTGGAATGCTAAAGTAGAGAATCAAGAGATAAAACGAAA